TCTTCATTTTGGCCGTTTACTTTGAGTTTTCCTCACGCCCAAAGAAAACATTTAAATTTGTTAATTACTGGGAAACACCAAAAACCTATTTGATGCGTGTGAAACTGAGATTTCTCACACAGATGCTGCGCTCCTTTTGCATATTAGCTGTGACTACTCAGAGCTTGCCAAAGCGAGCCGAACTCAAATAAATCGCAACCGGAATCGGCGATTAACTTATTTGCCGCACTGTAAACGGCTATAACAAAAAGTAAAAACAGCAACTAACAAGCACACAAATTGAAACTGAAAACGATTTTCCAAAAGGAAACTTAGTTTTCACTTGCCATTCAAGCGACGCCTCAGAAAAGGCAGCCAATGCTGTGAAGATGCGAGCTGTGGAAAATTTATAAAATAAATGCAAGCTATGAAAATGAAAATTAATACGAATTAATAGATGATAGAAGATGTAGAAAATTACATAAAAGGGTAGGCATAGACAGATATAAATATAAGACGATATCTTAAGTATTTAAAATAATATTTTTGGCTTACTTTAACGATCTCAATTTTGTACGTTTGGACTAGGGGCAAAGATATTTAATCTATTAAGTGCTCAAAGAAAAAAGAAACAAAGTAATATAGTTAATATATAGGAAGACAATTATGACAAGAATCCCCAGTAATGGGCATTAGTCACGCTACGAGTGCTTAAGGCCAGAGTTCTATAGGCGACAAGGCCAAGAAAACTCTTGGCTAGGCATATTATAACATGTGCTCTATTGTGCAGATGACTTCATTAATAACAATCAAGATCCGCTACTTTTGATAATTTATGGCATTATACCTCGATCTACGCCCACGCAGCAGCAAAAACAAACAAATGACAGCTGTGCGACTTTAATAATTGGCAACATAATCTGCAAAATCTCACAAAATCATTTAAAAACTGACAAATGACACTACAAAGGGCAATTAGCTAAGCCCACATTAGATTGTATAATAACATGCTAAACACCACAGATACAAAATTAAAAAAACAAAAAAAAACTGCACCATAAAATTCAGCAGAAACTCAAAACCACAACAGCTGAGGCGACCTTGAAAGAGCACCGAAAAAAATATAATAAAAATAAATATCTAAAAGAAAAAAAGAAGCGAAAGAAAAGTCCAAAATTGAACGGCTGTGCCCCAGAGATGCTAATTTTTTGTGACAACGGAGCTAGTCGAGTCTTGGAACCGGCATCTGCATATGGAAGATCGGCAACGGTCCTCGGGCCCGGGCCAGGCCGCAGAGGCAACCGGTTGATGCTTCGCTTCGTGTATAAATTAAAATATTATCAAGTCAAAATAAAAAGGAAAAATTATCCGGCGTAACCAGTTGCTGACGTCGGTGCGACGACACATTTCACAGAAATTCGACTGCTCGCATTTGAAATGTAAATGAAAACGAGAGTTTTAATATCGTATTTTATTTTTTGAAGATAGCATCAATTTAAACTGGTTACCAAGTGTGCACTCTAGACGCAAACCGAGACACGACGACCTTTTCGAATGAAAAACGCATTGCATTGCAAAATTTAATCGAAACGTTTTTAAACTTTATTCTAATTGTGCATTGTCTAGAGATCTATGACTGTCGGCCTCCGTCGACCTCAAGCTACAGCCAACTGATTCTAAATGCTGCTCATTGTCTGAGGCTGGCTAATTTTATTTTAATTAGCTAACGTCATTTGACAAAATCAACTTGAAAAACAAAAAAAGAACACAAACCCATACACAACGATTTTATCGCAAAATTATGTGAAAAATTCAAATAATTTGTGATTCGCGTTGTTTTTTTTTTTTGCTTCTACAAAATTTGCACAATTTCAAGGCACTTGTGCTCATAAAACGCATAGAGAACTATTAAATTTGCAAATGAACTTAACATGAGAATCGAAAACTTCCTTTTATACAATTTACGATTTTGAACAGAACTGTGACTGTGACTGCCACAAAAACTGTGACTGTGACTTGCTTGCCCATCATTAATAATACTTTTTATATAGACGACAACAAACAAACACAACAACAAAACCAACTCGTACAACAGCAACAACAATTTACCGGTATTCGTGTGCTTGTAAGCCGTCGTGCTTAGCCTTGAATTTGAACTTGGCTAAAAGGCAATTTAACATCGAAACTTCGAGGCACATCGATACGTGTCAGCGACATGCAGACAGACAGCCAGCTCATCTCCGGCTCCGGACAATGGTGGGCCGTAAAAAATTAGATGCTTTTATTATTATATGGTCATATGGGCGAGCGAGCAACAGCAAAATTAATATTAATATTATGAATATTATTGCTTATGACAATGCAAAATGCACCAAAATAAGGGAAACAATACATAAAGCTCAGCCATAAATTTCAACTGTTTAGCATAGCCATATATCATATAAGCCAAAAGCAAAACAAAAGGCGACCTTAGATATTTAAAAAAGAGCCAAAGATGTGCAGAAGAATAAGCACATAGAGCACTTATTACATATATGAACATTGTGTGCCTGATTTATGGCAGAGGGCATTAATCACAAAAATAAACATACATCATCGTATGATATTCAAGAGAGGGTAAAGAAGAAGATGTGCTCATATACTTTTATTTACAACTTAAATATTTATATGCCCATTTATTACATTTATAGCTAAATATATCTATCAGCTGCGCAGTAGTTAGAACCCTTTGACATTTGAGATTTAATTCATTTAACGAGCCTGCATTTGAGATCGCATGAATAGAACCAGTTGGCTGCAGCTCAGCAAACTATTATCATATATTTTGTCACATATTTATCTAAAGCCAGGCACTCAAATGTCAGCTTGAGACAAGCTACATCACATAAGCGCACACGCTTTATAACATTTATAAATTTAAAAAAAAAAATGAAGTTAAATATCCACTTAAAATGCGCGACACACATTTTTGCTTTGTGGAGCGGGGTGTGAACGGCGCATCTTTGAACTCCGTCACATTGGTAAAGCCCACAAAGACGAGACGCCTTCGTCATACAAAATGCAGCTAACATAGTTAACTGACAACAAAAATGGTGGCATGAATAAATGAAAGGCAGACGAACAGCTGCTCGGCGCTGGGCATAAATTTGAGCCCAAAATCCATTACCAAGACCCAATCAATTGAAGCTTCCTCTTTGGCAAAATACGAAAAAAAAAAAAAAAAAACTGAAAACCAAACAACGAGACGTCGCGCCGTCTGACATTTCGAAATGCGCATACGCCCCGTTGTACGAGTGAGTGTGTGGATGGATAATCGAATTGAAGGCAAACCAATAAACAATGCATAATAAAACTGTTATCTGATGTATTTATTGATGTATCCATAAACAATGCCAGCTGCCGAATTGCAATGCTCCAATGAACCTTTTGCATTTGTATCTTTCAACTTTGCTTAACTAACACAACTTAAACGCTTCACTCAGCTCTCTCTACAGCTATCTTTCTCCCTCTCTCTCTATCTCCCTCTCTCTCGCTGTTTGTCTTTGTTTTGCAATAAATCAACTGCAAGTGTTTGGCAGCTTGGAATTTGCAGCCACGCCAATATCGTATACTATATGCTTAAATGATATCAATATAAATAATTAAAGCACTTACTTTTTATGGCAGCTGCCGCTTTTGAAATTTGATTTTGTTTTTGATTTTGTGTTTGGTTTTTGCTTTTGCCTTTGCCTTTGCCTTTGCTTTTCATATATTTGCACAGCCAATTAAAACGCATTGAAAATGAAAGTGTTGCCGCATTGTAATTGTAATCTATTGTTCACTTTTCAATTTGATATAGTTATGCATTCGGACCAACCGCCTCTCTGTATGTGTGTGTGTGTGTGTGTAAGTATGCTTTTGTTGTTGCCCTTTCGCTGCGCTTTACGCTTTACGTAAGTGACATTGAAGGCAGCGGCTAATTATGCAATTACCGCTTCAACTGAATCAAGTCTTTAAATTAACGGAAACTCAACGGAAATTGTACAAAACTGTTGCAAATACATTAAAACATGGCACAACATACAAAGCTTTTATCATTATCATTTTCTATATTAATATATCGAGCTGCAAATTATGCACACATTCATTTTGTATTTATTCAACATCCATTTCATATAGGAAGCACATTTTTTGTCAAAAAATTTGCCCATTGTTACAAATAATACAATAAAAATAGTTTATTTTTAACAAAAGTAACTTAGCTAATATTAAGATAAAATATTACTTTTTAGAAAATTATGGAATTCAAGCCCAGCTTTTCGAACTAGAATATTGTAGAATAAATTCGCCCTCTTCTAATATCATATCATTATGATAATCTTATTGCACACAAGTTAAACCCATATTTGAAAAAGAAACTACAATTTTTATGATATATTAGCCAAAGTTTTATTATTATTTACTTACACTAAAATAAGGCCTAACTTAACTTGGCAAAGGTTTCAGTTTCACTTTTTCCATATATATGAACTAGTCATGGAAAATCAGACGAATCTATGTCTAGAACACTTTCTACGACCATAACAAGATATAGTACACTCACCCACACACACACACACACACCTGTTGTGCATTTCTTTTCCGCCACAAACTGATTGAGTGTCAGCTAAAAAAAAGTAACGTTAATCAAGACATGTGCGAGTTGCAGTTAGGTGTAGCTCCAAAAAACACGAAAGACAAAAAAATACTTGTGGATTGCGTGCCGACAATGTTAAGTGAAGAACTCAACGGAACGGACCCCAGCGACATTTCTTTGGAGCGTTCGTTCAGTGACTTCTTCACTTGGCACAAGGAGCATAAATCTTAGCCTGTGCTCGTCGGGGTGTGTTTATTGGCGAATTCTCGCATTGCTTACAACATTTTTGTTTGGTTTCTTTCTTTTGTGAAATTTACATAATTTTGTTATTATTTCTTTGTGTTTTTTTTTCAAGCAAACCAAAGCGGGAAATAAAAAATTCAACAGCAACTGCAGAAACGTCATAATGAAAAGAGCCAAACGCTGGCTGTTCATGACAGCGACAGGTGAGTTCAGACACCCCCCCCCCCCCCCCCACTCTTCTCTACCTACGTATATGAGGAAAGGTTATTCAGGTGCTGCAATAACTTAATCGCTGCTTTGCACTTGCAACGAACTGGATTATGCTGCACAGCGAAAACTCCCGAAAAATAAATGCTACCAGTCGCTGCATGTGCTGTGATATAATGCGAGCAGTCGAGCGCAAAAACGGCTCCGATTATGCAATTAAATAAAAAACCAGCTACAGTTTTTACACATTTTTATATAAATACCTGCCCTGCTTTTTCATCCGAACAGTGCTGTTGTTGGGTCTGATTGGCTCCGCGGATGCTGCGCTGCCCTTCAAGAAGGTCTCCATTGCCAAAACACCTGCCTCTACAACCAGCACAAGCACAACGACTACCGAAAGTTCAGAACCTGCCACAGAAAAACAAGAGTTGCCACAGCCCACCGGCGAGGGGGAGGAGAGCAAGGTAAGTGCTTAGTTCGTTTTAGTTGGAGTTAGGATTTCTAATCTATATTTTTATAGTCGGACAATGTGACGCTGTCGAAAAACTCCAAATTGACGGGCATACCGCAAATTGATTATATCTGGGATCCAAATTTGCCACGAGAGCTAAGAGGGTAAGTCGAACTTCGAACTTCATTTAACACCTCCTTATCAATTGTCTCTTATCTTCGGCGCAGCTACAATCTCTCGAGCTATCCTTTCTTGTCTACCGTTCCACCCATGGATGAGATTCACTTCAAGTGCGAGGGTCTCCACGACGGTTTTTATGCCTCAATTGAGTACAAATGTCAGGTGAGTAAATAAGTCAATAAGAGACCACAGGCCTTTGACACCTACTTATGCGATTTTCAAGGAATATTTCCTCATTTCCGTTTCGCTGTCAATCTTTCACTTCTACTCGGACTCTCCCTCACACATGAAAAACCTAAAGGGTGGTACTTCAATTCATCAAATCGCTTAGAAAGGGTTATTCCCTACTTGTATTTATGAAAATCGCATAGAAAGGCTTCTTTCTGATGATGCTTTCAAGTGCTGTTACCTCCCTCCCTGTCGCTAGATCAAAGGGAGGGTCACTAGAGCAAGACAAATTATATGTTTTTCCATATGTATGTTGACCTTGTGCTCAACAGCGCAACGGGAATGTAGTGGGTGGGGGAGGGGAAGGGGTCGTTATCCAATTGGTCAAGTTGAACAGCGCGCAATATGAGCTACCACGTAATTCATGTCCAGTAATTTCTCTTTTTGCCGCCGTCTTGCGGCTTACGTGCCCAAAGGCGAAGCCAAAAAGAAAAACATTTAAAAAAAACTTGTCTGCGTGTCGATCTTGACCTCAAATTGAATTTTGTTTGCCTGGCGAAGAGACGTTAAACAGACGGTGTTCACACCTCCGTCTGGCCAAGACTTTAGTTAGTTATTTACGAATTTTACTAACTGCCTCTTTTATCATTTGCAGATTTATCATCATTGCGTCTACGGTATACGACACGATTTCCTTTGCGCCAATTTCACGGCCTTCGATCAGCGCACCTTCATCTGTCACTTTGCCTCCGATGTGGACTGCGAGGGCTCCCAAAAGTACTGGAACAGGTGAGAGCAAGTCGAGCCTGACCCAGAGAATGGAACATAGCTCACTTTAATTCATTCCCCATAGAAATGATGAGCTATACATGGCCACGACGACGTCGTCGACGAGCACGACCACAACGGAACCACCTCCGACCCCGCCTAGACGTCGGGCGCAGCGACCCTATCATCGACCCTACAACCGCCGCCCCGTGGATGACTACTATTATGACGAGTCGGAGGATGAGTACTATGAGGAGCGCTACAGTCGTCGCAATCCACGTCCGCGTCCGCGCAAACCGCAACTGCAACTGGACTACGACGATGAGTACGAGGATAAACAAGTGGCGGAAAAGCCGCTGCGACGCAACCGAAATCGCTACAGGGACGAGGATGAGCTCGTCGACGAGGACTACGATGATCGGCGCAATCGACCTGGCGGCCGGCGTAGCAAGCCCCAGCCAGCAGCTGGCGGTCGTGGTAAGGCATCGCCCCGCAAGCCAGGACGCGTTGAGGAGCGTCGCAGCTTCAATGAGGAACGCGTCGCTGACGAACCACGTCGTGCAGGTGGCAGACGGCGCAGCAGCGAAAAGCGCACGACACCATCTACAGTTGCGGTGCTGGACGAGCTTGATGAGTATGAGAAGCCCGACGGGCTGGACCAGGAGGAGGCAGCCGAAGAGCAAACACCGCAGAAAGTAAAAACAACGCCCAAGCCATTGACTGAGTTTATTACGCCCAAAGCGGCGGCTGCCTCCGTCTATGCCCGTCCCCGTGCCCCGCCGCGCATAGCTCGTCCCGTGCCCGTCAACGAGAAGAAAAAGTATTCCTATCCCGTGCAGAAAAACACGGCTACCACACACGCTCCAGCAGGTGGCGAGCAGGAGGATGACGATTACTACCAAGACCGTGAGCAGCAGGAGGAGGACTACGAGCAGCCGGCACAACCAGCACGCAATGCGCCACGCAGACGCACTGCAGCCCCCAAAGAACAGAAGCCCACGCGCTCAACTCTGCGCAAGCCAGTGACAGAGAAGAAGGCGCTGCTGGACGAGGAGGATGACTACGAGGCCGAGCGACAGGAAACGCCACGCCGTAAGCGTCCACAGGCCAGCAGAGCTCGTGCGCCGGCTGCCGATGTGGACTTCGTGGACGATGTGGATTACGAGGAGCGGCCAGCGCCTGCACGAGCGCAGCGAGTGCGCCCCAAGCCAGCTGCTCCCGTACCACGTAAGCCTGCAGCACGCCCCAGACAACCCATTGTGCAGGAGGATGAGGAGGAGCATGTCGAGCCCGCCAGTGAAGAGCAGCCGGCGCAGCCGCGTGTTCCACCGGCGCGCACGAAATCCAACTCCTTGGTGGGCATAACCCCGGCGAGACGCAATCAAAAACTGGCGCTGGCCAATCGACAACGTGCGTTGCCCACGTCCAGGACAACAGCAGCGCCCGCACTGGAAGAGGAACTGCCCGAGGAGGAGGCACTGCAGCCAGAGCACGCCGAGCCAGATGAGGTGGATGAGCCGCTGGCGCCAGCAGCACCAGCCAAGCCACTGCGACCCGCTTCGGTACGTGTGGTCAAGCGACCCTTCCTGCCCTCGCGTGGTGGCAGCCCATATTTGCCGCGAGGCCTTCAGCCGGTGGGCGTGGCAGTGCGGTCGCAACTGACCAGCAATACGCGCACCACAGACAGCACGCCCATCGACATGGGCTCAACCATATCGGGCGTGCGCCTGCTGGAGCATGGAGCGCCGCTGCTGCGCGGCGAACAGCCAAGCAGTGACAGTGACGGTGACAGTGAGGCTGACAGCGATGAGCTGCCGGCACCGTCGCCCAACCCACCGCGCACCACATTGCCGCCACGCAGTGCACTGCCCACATCGGTAACGCCCAGGCGGCCAGAGCCACAGCCGGTCAAGCTCAATCTGGACGAACTCTATGAGAACGACTACGATGTGACGCTGAACGATGCGCTCGATCCCACGCTTAAACCGCTTACGCCACTGCATCCACATCAGCATCAGCATGCCAACTATCAGAGCCGGGCCTATGCTAGTGCGTATGTCGCACCCGCTGCCAGCGGAGCGTACAATCCATTTGCCGGTCATGGCAATAGCAACTATCAGCAGCAGGCATCCATCTATCAGAATCATTCGCCGTCATCATCCCATGCATCCGCTTCGCAGTCACAGCCTCAGTCTCAGTCACATTCGCCACCGAACTATCATAGTGATTCCTATTTCTCATCGACAGATATACGCCGGCGAGCGATTGTCCCGGCGCAGGTCTCGCGTGCACATAGACACGAATACGCTGCCGGAGGAGCAGTGAGCAGCACCCAAACGGGCGCACGACTTGCCCAGCATTACTACGATGAGTTTGCATATTAGTCGCGGTTACAAGTCTGTGAAAAATCAAGGTAAATATTATGATAGACCGATAAAATTGATTTAACGATTCCTGTTGTAATATATCCATGTTGTTTCCTTTCAGTTTCTTCAGCTGTAAATAACTAGAAGGCGCACCAGGTGCCTAGGCAACTGCTTTTCTACTCTATCTTTTTCTTTTTTATATATTTTAGTCCTCTAGCCGCAAGCTAATTATAATATTTTTTTCTATAGTTAAAGTTAAAGCAGGCGGAATTTCCAACACACAATTTGCGCTTAACTTTTACGTGAAACAGAGAAGCAAAAAAAAAATTATTAATATATACATTGTATAATACTCAATTGTCGTGATAGTAGCCGAGACAAAAGTAACTTTCAAGTTTTGTCTGCTAATTTTTATTTAGTACACAAACAACAACAATAACAACCATCAACAGCCGCTGCGCTTAGTTAAATACTTGAATGCGGTAAACAAATTGAACAACAAAAAAAACAAACAAATTAATTTAAATTTAGTATGCAAAAACATTTTGTGTGCGCGTATTATTTAAGCTGTATTCTAGGCTCAAGTCGAGTGCTTAAACAAAATTAAAACTATGATACAAAACAACTAAAAAAGGCAAAAACAATAACCTTAACTTTTATATACATTTAAGTTGATTGCGATTCGCTTGTGCAAAGGCAGCTCTTCAGCGCCTCCGTCGCCTCCTCCAGATGATCCAGTTTTTTCATTAATATTATCTAAAACAGACAGAAGCGAATATATAATTAAATATAGATTTAACATATAGGATATAGAGGCAAACCTTAGCAGCTGATATAATTTCCGTGGCCACTTTGAGTGGCATGAATTCCACAGCTTTCACCAGCGCAATGGGACGCGTCTTGGCCACATCTTCGATGGTTCTGAAGCCCGCCGTATAAAGCTGCTTGGCTCGATTCTAAAAAGTACAAATAAGTTAAAAGCGATTCATTATTTAAGGTAATCACTCACAATCTTAACAGCGGGCAGCTCTAACAGCGACTCCAGTTCCAGCGTGCCGCAGCGATCCATTTTTTGATTGATGCGCTCGAAGAGTGGCCTATAGCACCAGAACTCATCAATTTGCTCGCACAGACGCACTATGGCGCTAGCCGCCGCCGTGCACTGACTGATTAGTTGCTGCAACGTGCCGCGCTCCACATTGTACTTGCTGGCCACGCTGGGTAACGGCACGAGCGCCAGTACATCAGCTAGAATGAGGACTTTGTACAGGCGATTCAACTGCAAAGCCAACGGACCCTGCACCGACTGCGTCTTAGCTAGCCTGGCCGCATGCGCCTCCGTAAAGCCCAACTGCTTGAACAGCGCCTGGGTCTGTGTCGATAGGGAAGTATATTCGCGAAAGAGTATGTTAGCATCAGCAGGGAACATTTCATCGCCACGCTCATTGGAATTGAAGCAGACAACCAGGTAAAGCAGATGCACATAGCTGGTGAGTATGAGCTGCTGCTGCGCCTGCTGCAGCTCTCTGTGTATTGCAAAGGCGCGTTTGTAATCGATGCCCGCCTTAAATGCGGCGCGCCCAATGTTGGTTAGCTGAAAACGAGTGGATTGGCTTATGAGCAGACGACGATCGGAAGCCGAGCGACTGCTCTGATTGATATCTTGTGTAGTCATAATATCCGAGCTATTGGGTTTGCCCTTAGGCGCAGTTTCTCTAAGTTGCAGCACCTTGTTCTTGAACATGTCACGCAAAATGCGCAGCACCAGCTCATCAACGGCTACTTCCAAGGCGCCAGCCTGCACGGCCAGCAAAGTGCTGTTGACCAGGCGATTGAGATCGCGTCGGCAATCAGCCAGGTTCAAGCCAATGACGCTCAGTATTAAAGACTGTAAAGAAATAGACTGTCAGTGCTGGAGTGAGACTCTGGGCCCAGAGGACACGGGTTTACCTGTAAGCCAACGGCATCCAGCTGATCCAGCGAGCTAAGCGCTTTGTCCATGGGCGAGAATAGCATTTGCCCCACAAGAAAATTGTCCTTGCTCTGCGTTATCAGAATACTCTCGCCCGCCTCGCCCAGACCTGCGCGTCCAGCACGTCCAACCATTTGCTTGTACTTGCACAAAGTCATGAACTCTTGTCCGACATAGGGCGCACGTATAATCACACGCTTGGCGGGCAGATTCACGCCCGCCGCCAGCGTGGAAGTACAACAAATTACCGTGATGACGCCGAATCGATATGCGGTCTCAATATATTTGCGTTCGTCCGTGGTCAGTCCCGAGTGATGATAGGCAATGCCGTAGGGCAACGTTTTGGCCAGCACGGGACTTAAGATGCCACACATCTTGTCGAGAGCATTCATAAGATCAGCTTTCTCATTCTGGCGATGCTCAAAGAACTTTTGCTTGGGCACAATCCTACTAAGGAGCAGCGCGACATTCTCACAATTCTTGCGCGTGGGACAAAACACCAGACAGCAATGCTCCGGCGCACATTCGCTTATTAAACCCGCCAGATGATCTGGATCGGCGCGCTCCACAGCGGCGCTGTACTGTAAAGGAGTAAACAAAGTTAATAATGGCAGCTAAGCTGAAGAGAGACTGACATTGTAGCTAACGGTGCGATGAGGAACAAATATCTCTTCGAGCGTTTGCCCGGCCGAATTGATTTCCAGCAAATCATGTCCACATTTGATGTACTCCCGTAGCTCTACTGGACGAAAGCCACGCGTATAAACATCTGCATTGAGAAAAGCCGAAATTTCGTTCAGATTTCCAATGGTGGCGCTCATGCCCACAATTTGAATGTTGGCTAAAATGGAGATGGAACAGTTAGTAACTGTGAAGGAGTATATAGAATTATATAGATACCATTCAAAAACATGACCTTGGTCAAAAAAGCCTCCAATGTAGCGCCGCGGCCGCGCTCGCCAATCAAATGCAGCTCATCAACCACAACCAGACCGATCTCGTGTGGACGTTGAGCATCAATCAAGCTGTCCATAAGCACGGCGCCCTTCTCAATGGATGCGATAAACAGGCTGCGCCGCTTGCGTTGCGGTTGTGGCGGACATTTGCCCTTGCCCGCCGTATACTCATCCACAATGAAGTCTAGCGCAATGGCAAACGGTGACATGGCGCTCACCTTTTCCTGCACTATGGACACATAGGGCAGTATGAAGAGCACATTGCGTTGGCGGCAGAGCAGCTCGCGCAGCATTAGGATTTCGGCAACCAAAGTTTTGCCGCCGCTAGTGGGCAGCGCATAAATTAGATTTTTGCGCTTTCGTATGGCTGGCAGATTCAGACACTCATCCTGCCACTCTAAAAGGGTGCAATATTAGTAATAGTCGAAGTATGCCGAAATGTCAACAACCCGCTCACCATATAAGCTTTTGATGCCCTTGTGCTCGAATATTAAATTCTTCACCCTGTCCGGCAGACCGTAGAAATCGCCCTTACTGGGAAAACTGTTGTCGGGCTCGTCCTTGGCGCTTTCGAATTCGGCAAACGCCTGCGTCTGCCAGTCCAGCTGATCGAGTGCCGCCAGTTCTTGTTGCGCCTGCAGCATGGAGCGATTTTGCAGAGCTTCGTATGTTTCATATTGTGTTCCCTGCACAATGCCTTCCAGAATGGACTTGGATATGAATGACATTGATGTCGACATGGCTATGGAGTCCTCTTTGGGTTGCGGGGCCATCATTTGTGTTCTCTCTGGTGATTTGGGTACCTTAAAGGCAATTGCATCCATAAAGAGTTGAGTATTTTGTACGACTGGATCGCTGTAATGATCAGCGCCATGGAAAATATCAATTTCAGCCATGCTCAAGTCTTTGAGGTCAATATCCTTAAAACTTTGGACCTTTGGACTGTTCTGGTCCAGTTCAATCCTCGGCACTACTTCTTCTGCGCTGGGCAATGAAATATCGCCAAACAGACTATCGTCCGATTGGCTCTGATGAAATTTATTGCTGGTTTGACTGCTGAAAGGTGCCGACACCACAGCATCTTGTCCACTAAACAATTCCTCCAGCTTGGCGTGGGAAAAGAAACTGGCATCGTTGTCCGGCCAAAAGATACTCTCGCTCATCTGCATGGTACCTGCACCGCTTGTGCCTGGTTTATTGTGGTCGACACAAATTCGTTTAGCATTGACATTATGTTCGGGTGTTGAACCTTTGTTTCTAAACTGTTTTCTTGACATAATGTACAGAAATCATAACTCAAATGCATCGCGCCAAAATGTGCAACACAGCTGATTTCACATATGGCAGTGTTGCCACCTAGGATTTCCATTTGCATCAGTATTTTGTGCAAGTGCTGGTATTTTATTCGATCCTCGAGAGTTGTTGTGCTAATTCAGATCTAAAAGCAAAAAGATTAAGTCCCCAAATAAATATGAGAAATAATAATACTATGTAGGCATGCCTCAAAAAACAAGCATTTTAACAATGAAAGCGCTACTAATATTTTGGCGGTATTTTTTATAAATCGTGAGATCAAGAATTTTAGGTATTAAAACAGTTGTTGCTTATGGTCACATTGTCCTCTACTATTTTGAGCGCAGCAATTTGGCACTACAATTCGGACCAGAATTTGTGTTGTGAAATAAAATTGTTCAAATTTGCAGCTGAGTGCACTTCCGCAATGGATGCACGAGGAAGCTATTGGTACCTGGAGCATGTAAGCACCGGCAAAAAACTAATTCTGCAGTCTGGCGACAATTCTGTGGGCAGGCACTCCTGCTGCAAGATTGTTTTAAAGGAATATGACTTTCTGTCTCGACAACATGCGAAGTTTATCGTAAACAGTGAAAATATCAGCGTAGAGCAGTTGGTAAGCGTCTTATTTCATTAGCAACGAACTGTTTACAAATATGTACATTTTCGGTGGGTTTCTATCAACAGAACGCGTTGAATGGCGTGTTTATAAACGAGTCCAAGCTCGAAGTAAATGCGCAGCAACTTAATTGCGGCGATAGAATCGGCCTTGGAGTTGAAACGCCGCACGATGTTGTGCCACCAAATTATGCCATATTTCAATTGAAAAAGACGTGTCCAAATGTAGAGGACATTGTCGTCATATCGGATGATGAAGATAGTGACAAAACCCCGCCAAGACCAACAGAAATTGCCAAGGCGGGGAGTAAAGAGGATCCCGAACTGAGAAATGAGGAGGTCAGCAACGTTGACAATGCAGCTGATAAGAGCCCAACAAAGCCAACTTCACATCGCTCAATTCACTTGCCAAAGCTGCCAGAGATGAAGCAGGAGCTCCTGTCTCAGGCAACCAAAGAGATTGAGAACATTTTCGGCGAGCCTGATGAGGATCTGCTTGAATCGGTTTTTCAAATAAATCCGTATGTTTACAAGCAGCTGAACAACAACAACATTCCTACAACTGGCGAAAAAATACACGACGGCGACGTAATTGAGCTGCCGGAGGAAGTTAACAAGACGGACAAAGACTTGCCCGAAAAGGAGACTGAAAACCCAGCAGGTGGCGGTGACATGCCACCTCCTGTTTCGCCAGGAGAAGATCAAATAACTATAGGTGACTACCAGGACGACTATGATGAAAACTTCGCCATGTCGCAGGCTGTGCTGCGGGAAATGAAAGAGGAAATGGCCGACGGGTCGGCTGATCTAAGTGATGCGGATCCTGACGACCTGCACGACGAAGAGTTTCTGCCTCCAGCTTCCTGGATTAAAAGTGAAATAGCCACTCAAATTGATGACGATGAAATCATACTCATTGAGGACGAAGACGACGAGCTCTACAGCAAAGTAGCCGATTGGTCATCAAAACTGCTTACTCAGAATCTCATGTCCCAGGTTTATCCACTGGATGATGGGAAAAATGTTGAAGAACAGGCCAATGATCCTGCTCGAGATGATGACGACGATTCTCAGCTGTCGGAAAATATCTTTATGAGCCGTAAATCCAAAGCGTTGCGCATTGACAGCAGCAATAGCGAAGATGAACTGTCGGCCCTTTTATCTGGTAAATAGAATCTCGGCGCATCTTTTAAATATATATCTAACCATTTATTTCAGTTGACAGCAGCACACCGCAAAAACCCCACATACGCAGATGTAGCGTGCGTCTGAAATCGATTGATATGTCGCAACGGCATCAAAATAGCACGGACAACTTGGCAACAAGTTCTGTTGCTGTCGTTGAGGACAATCGGCAGGAATTGGAGGTAGTTTTAGTGCCCAGTGTTCTGCATGCCAAAACCAACGCGAAAGGAGCAATGAAAAAGTCTACACCGCGCAAGCGTAGAAAAACTGTTTCGGAACGTTCTCAGCCTAAAGAGTTGCCAACAAAGCCAGAAGCAACTATGTCACTTCCAGAGGCCGAAGAGCCCACCAAGAAACGCAGTTCGCGGTTACGAAACAGGTCCAAGTCTTGCTATTTAGAAAGCCCCTCATCATCACCAACGAGGCCACAGAAAACGGCAGCAATAGACAAAAAGCAAGCCAAAGACCTGCCTGATGAGATAAGTGAACCAGAGACCGAAACACCCGCCAAAGCACGCAACTGTCGCATGCGAACCAGATACAAATCTTGTTATATGGAAAGTCCTTTGTCTTCGCCAACGAGACCACAAAAAAGTCCAACCGATAAACCCGTCGAAGAGCTTCCAGCTGAGATACCTGAACCAGAGACTGAAACACCCGGTAAAAAAAGCAGCTCACGCATGCAAAACAGATCCAAATCATGTTATATACAAAGTCCTTCGTCTTCGCCTACGCGACCAAAACAACCCAAGGACTTGCCAGCTGAGATGCCTGCTCTAGAGACTGAAACACCCGCCAAAAATAGCAGCTCCAGCATTCGAAACAGATCCAAATCTTTTTATATAGAAAGTCCTTTGTCCTCGCCAACGCGACCAAAAAAATCCGCTGAGATGCCTGCACCAGAACTCAAGACACCCACAAATAGGGTCAGTCCTCGCTTGCAAAACAGATCAAAGTCTTGCTATATGGAAGGTCCAAAGCCGTCCCCGCCGCAGTTACCCAGCGTTACAAATACAGAAAATGAGAGAGAGTTGCCGGCAAAGTCTGTACCAGGGCTTGAAACGCCCTTAAAGAAATGCAGCCCCCGTTTGCTAAACAGGTCCAAATCTTGTTATGTTGAAAGCCCCATGTCCCCGCCAAAGAAACTAACTGCAGACAAGAAGAAAGAAGTGCCGACAAAACCAGACGAAATAATACCTGATCCAGTCCAGGAAACACCCATCAAGAAAGCGCTCAGCGCACGCTTATTGAACAGATCCAAGTCTTGCTACATGGAACGTCCCTTGCCTTCGCCAGAACAGTCTGAGGACGCGACAAGCAATATTAAATCGCTATCTACAGCCAAAGGTAGGGGGCCAGAAGTGATTGCAGCGCCACATTTACCCAAAAGCCGTGGCAAATTGCGTGGCGTTTCCGCTGCAAGCAAGGAAAATGAGCGCCGAAATCAAATTCTGGAGAGACAACGTTCAGCGGACTACCAAGCGGAGATGAGAACGAAATGGTATCAAAAACCAAAGGATAAGAAGCGCGAGTGTGAACAAATCAAAGAGAAGCGTCGCGAGCAGCTGAAAAAAATAGCCGACAAGCCAAAGCCGGATGCAGCGTCCGAACGCGGCGATGAACGCAAACGTAAACCAACGAGCTTGCCCACGCTAGGTAATTCGAACCGTGGAGAATTTCTCACCAAAGGCGTGCAGCCACCAACAGCAAAGAAGCCCAAGATGGATAAGGCCGAGGCTCAGTCAAAGCCCGAAAAAGCAGCACACAAGCGTCGTGCCACAATAGAATCCTTCTCACAGCAGCTGAATGCCGCCGATTTAGTAAAGAGCCCGCCCACCCACTATAGTCGTCCGCCCGAACGCAAGGAGGCGGAACGGGCGCGTAGTAAAAGAACCTGCAATCGTGTTACTTTCGCCGACATGGACCGTGAGTTTGATTTGCGCCAGGAGCGCGAAAAGCGTGCTAAAAGCAATCGACATGTTCGTTTTAACGACAACATACAAATCAAATTGATTGAACGGGTTGAAGGTGCTTTTAAAAAAGTGGCTGGTATTAAGGATACCAAGAAGGTAACACTTAGCACGTACGCGGAGCGTCGCGCATGGTCACAAGCCCAGGGTAGATTGGAAAACTTTACCGATTTGATTATGGGAAACATTCTTAACTGGGGCAATCAGTGGTTGGCATCGCGCAGCGCCGACGCGGTGGCCGAGTCTGAGGTCCTAATACCCATTCCAAATGAGTTCAAGAGCTACAAACAATACAGAGAGTAAGTTGAGTTAAAGTAGATAAAAATTCTCAATTATAATTATATTTGGTAATCCAGCATTATAATACCCCTGATGAAATTGGAGCTGATCTCTACAATAGAGCGTGACTACAAGATTTCCAAAAGCACATTTGAAGTCAATCTGGTTAACATTTCGAATGCAAACACCCGACATCGACCTCGCTTCGTGCTGAACACCAGATGTAAGTCAGTTAATCTATTTTGCGTACGCATTTCCTGATCATTTATCCTCTATGTTTTGTAGACAATCACAAGCTCGGCAAGAGATTTGACCTGTACACTCTAAGCAGTGACAATAAGCTGAAGGAGACGTTTGCATCGATTGCACGCATTCAGCGCATAGCTGGTAGGCATATTTAATTAAAGACTTACAAGGTATTATCATTTGCATACACTTACAGGCAACACTTGTGAAATATGCTTTGAGATATTGCAAGAGAACATCAGCATTGATATGCTTAGCTCATGCAAAACGTTAACTGTGCGCCCTGTGGTGGACAATATACGTGTGGAAATGGGCGCTTTCAATGCCATTTATTTGCTTGGTCGCTCGCCGTTGTTCCAGCGCATACTGCAGCCCAGCGAGAACGTATTGTCCTATGACAACAGACTGTTGCAGCCAGCGGCATACAAGGGTTTTAAGAGACTGAATAACCATCAGATGGACATTTGCCAGCGCACCTGGAGTCGTTTGATTGACGATTCGACGCCTAGCATAACGCTAATACAGGGTCCACCCGGTACAGGCAAATCCGTGGTTATTTCGAATCTCACGCTACAGTGCATG